GAGAGAGAGAGAGAGAGAGAGAGAGAGAGAGAGAGAGAGAGAGAGAGAGAGAGAGAGAGAGCCATGACACGCACATACTTTTTTCAGTCGCTAGGGGTCAGAGTTTCTTCAAAAGAGAGCAAGTTTAAAACAGTGACTGTGCTCAATATTCCAATGTCATCACAACTGTGGGTCTAGCAGCACATTTAAAGCTACAGTTTACATAAATTATGAAAAGCAAAAGTCGACTTTATCTCTTTCAACATATTTTCAGATTTATTATTTTTACTGTATAAGCATGTTGACTGTACTGACATTGTTTACAAATGTTCTGAAGTTATTTTGGTCATAAATCTAACCTAATTTCTTACTGCGTCCACAGATTTAAATAAATTCTTGAATAAGAAACCTCATTTTTTTTTCCTCATTCATGAAAGTTAGTATGCAAACACTACATTTTTCATGCAATCAGAAAGTTTAGCAAACTTAAATTAGTAACTTTGAATAAGTTGAATTCGCCAGCCATTGACCAGTTTTTCCATTCAATTACAATGATATTCATAAAGTAATGTTCCCAGAGCAGATGGAGGATGGTGTTAAATGGTGTGTTACAATAGTGAACCAATTTTTAAACAAACAAAATAACTTATTAAAATTACATTTTATTTAAGTTTGTGTCAAAACCTCTGTATGCCTGACAAATTAAAAAAAATACAAATCAAAAACAAATTAACTGGCAAAACAACTTCCTTTTGAAAGAGCAGAATCATTCCTGACCTCTGATCTACAGAAAAGGTGGAACAAGACAAACACAACTGTTCAAACATCAAATCCTGCACTGGTGAAGTGAAATGGGCTTTTGTGAAACTCCAATGTACATGTCTGCAGTGTTGCCAGACTGGGCAGGTTTCCGCCCAACTGGGCTTCTTTTGAACATGTTGGGCTGGGAAAAAAACCCCAGCTTTGGGCATGTTAAAGTTTGGGCTGCTTTTCACCACATTTGACAGGTAAAATATTCACAGGACAATTATATCAAAATATCAAGTGTCACTATGAAACTGGTTAATGTCAATTGTAAACACACCAAATGAAGAAAAGACTGTGATTCTGAGAGCTTGAAGATACCCTCTACTTCTACCAAACAATCTGAGGGCTGTTAGTTGACTTTTGTTACTTGCAGTTGGCCCAGACACCTCCACTCACCCTGACTATTTCAATCTGTTTATTTATTTACAAGTTTTCACTCTAAAGATCTATCTCTCTCTTTAACACTGTTTTTTCAGAGCTACAATAAAAAATGTAAGTACAGTAGCCTATTTGATTCTGTGCTGATAGGTGCTTTATTGTACRTGTAGTATAATACATATATTACTAATATATAGTTCCACACCTTTAACATAAGTTTCATAAGTTTGAAATGTGGGCTGTTTTATTAATTATTTAATTAATTAATCAATTTAGTTAGTTAGTTAGTTAGTTAGTTAGTTAGTTAGTTAGTTAGTTAGTTAGTTAGTTAGTTAGTTAGTTAGTTAGTTAGTTAGTNAGTTAGTTAGTTAGTTAGTTAGTTAGTTAGTTAGTTAGTTAGTTAATTAGGTGTGTTTTACGTTGTGTTCAGGCTAGGAACTGTTTGTTTGATCTGGCAACCCTGCATTGCGTGTCTGTTATGCAGCTTCAAAAGATGCCCCAAAGAAAGTGTTTGTACAAACAGATGTTCTTTATACCTGTTACATTTAATCAAAAAAATGTCTCATTTAACTTTTTGAGTGTCATTGGTACAAGTTCAACTTATTTTTTATAAATTTTTGAGCAAAGAAATTCAAGAAAATCCAGATTTTTTTGTTTTTATTTTACAACACAATATTAAGTTTCCATTTAAAATCATTGAAACTGATTTTATGTCTTTTTTTTTTACAGGATAATAAAATTGCATGAACTAAAACCTTTACTATCCCGTTAATCTACTTTTCTCCCCTAGCACTGTTCCTTCAGTGTTTACCAGCCTGGTGTTACAATGAGCCATTAATGAAAAGATTGTTGTGCTGCAGTGGGTGAGGACTTATGAAGGAAAGACCTATACTCTCACACAATGGAAGTGGGTCACAGTTKTATGACTCAGTCAATACCTCTGAGGGCAGCAAACAAAAGAAATCTAAAAACACTACTTGTGTACTTCCTCATTGAGATTCAAGCTTATAGGATAAGAAACACAAGTAAAATGTCTGTAGTTCGTTTGCTCATAGTCTTGAAATCTTACTTGACATCAATTCAAAATAATTCACAAGTATTTTCATTACAAAATGATCTAAATTCTGTTTGCAAAATGATAATGTACATATGTGCAATACACACAACAAAGCACTTTTTTACAAATACAGTGCTATGAAGAGGTGCTGCTCATTCACCATCATAGTTTCCATCTCATACTGTAAAGAATAACTGTCCCCAAATAAGAAGGCAGGAGGGAAAAAAAACTGTAATCACTCATGACTTTTGGCTGTTGCTGCCATATTCATGACCAATGGCCATTTTGGTTTTTATCTATATGCTGAGTCACGGTTTTTTTACCCTCAATAGACATCCAGCACTTTCTTTAACTATTTTGTCATATGTATCTTGTTTCTATGAAATATATTTTTTTTCTTAGTGTTTAGTTGTGAACAAAGGGTTATACCAATTACCAAGTCAGTCACATGGTTTAGTTTACTATCAGGATGGATACCCCTGGGTCCTGAAAGTTGTGTGACTTGTTTTAAATGTCCCCGGCCTTAAGGTTTTACCAGCCTGTGACTCAGTTTGAAGTGACARAGAACAAAGCTCTGCATTTAAAAGGATTTCTGTACCGAAAAGTCTGAATTTATTGGAACTGGTGAATGCTCTGGATCTGACTTATGTTTTGCGTACACCCTGGGTTAGTTTCCCTCTTTTGGTTGTCATCTGAGGCCTCGAGACAATCCATATGGATTTTTTTTTCTTTCTCCATATGGATTGAGGAATAAACATGGCAGGTGAAGCAGGTTATATATATATATATATATATATATATATACACATTACAGAGACAAATGGTGAGCCTACATTTTCAGTGTCCACACCTGCAGCCATGCAGCACATCCTTGCAGTATGCAGATAGATTGACACAAGTATTTGTGTTCAACCCATCACATTTTCTTGAGATAGCTCAGCACTTTTAAAGATTTCTAAAATGCAGTTTTGATTTATCAAAATTAAAGGAGTGCATACATTAATTTTAGACATGCTGCACAAACATGTTTTCTGGTTGTCTTTGATCAAATACAAAAGAAATAAGCTGCTTTGTCTCTTTGTTATCTCGTCCTTCCAAGCGAAACGACTTTTAGTTACCAGCCCTCATTTGTGGTTTACTTCTGTTTTTTTGAAATATGAGGTGCGTACACATGGGAACAAAACACTCAAAAACCAGACACACAATGATGAGGGTGGTGACCTCCTTTTGCATTGTGTGTGTGTTTGTAAAGCTGATGATCTTTTCCTCGTTCTCATCTGGAAGATCTCTGATTACAGCTCAGATTAAATCACGGTGCACCCCAACTGTAGGAACTGTATATAAAGGCAGAGCAGTGGTGCTTGTTGTAAGCACAACATCTTCTTTCTGATACCTGGACATCAGAGAAGAAACATTAACAATGGTAAGAAACTGATTTCTCAGGTAATGACTTTATGAACTTATACTTATTAGCAACTCTAACACAAATTGTTTTGATTTGATTAAACAGAAGTTTTGATAGACTATTATAATCAGTTGTGGTTTTTCCACATACATGAAATTTCATCTGACAGAAATGTGAACACTAAACAGACACCTGAGAGATTTAAATAGTGCTGTTTACAATCCTCAGCGTGAATGCATCTCCATTCATGTGGGCCAAGCCGGGGCTCAGATCGGCAATGCCTGTTGGGAGTTGTACTGTCTGGAACATGGAATTCAGCCAGATGGACAGATGCCCTCTGACAGGACGATTGGAGGAGGGGATGACTCCTTCAACACTTTCTTCAGTGAAACTGGGACAGGAAAGCACGTTCCCAGAGCCATCTTTGTTGACCTGGAACCCACTGTCATTGGTTGGTGTCAAATTACTTCTAGATGACTTTTAAATAGATATCAATTTCACAATTAGTATCATGGGGGGTTGGTAATTTTCCGTAGATTTAAAGGCAACTTTCTACTTCTGTATTATAAAGTAGACCAAAGTTTAAACGCAAAACATGAATCAAAATTACTTCCAAAGTTGTTGGAAGGTTCCACTTACCACAACATTTTTCAAGTTGAATAGGGTACAACTGGTTTGTTAAACTACTGTCAAAATTCTACATTTTTATTTTTTTTTGAACAGATGAGGTGCGTACAGGAATGTATCGCCAGTTGTTCCACCCCGAGCAGATGATTACAGGAAAAGAGGATGCAGCCAATAACTATGCACGTGGACACTACACCATTGGCAAAGAGATTATTGACGTTGTTTTGGACAGAACACGTAAAATGGTGAGAATAAAAGGTCTAAGGTTAAATATTAGTAAGATGTCCAACATGATATAACATGAGTAAATTACTTCTCTGCTTCAACATTTGTGAAAATTTGACTTTTCAGGCTGATCAGTGCACTGGCCTGCAAGGTTTCCTCATCTTCCACTCCTTTGGTGGAGGCACTGGTTCTGGTTTTACCTCCCTGCTGATGGAGAGACTCTCTGTTGATTATGGCAAAAAATCTAAGCTGGAGTTTGCCATCTACCCAGCCCCTCAAGTTTCCACAGCAGTTGTGGAGCCTTACAACTCCATCTTGACCACCCACACCACCTTGGAGCACTCTGACTGTGCCTTCATGGTGGACAATGAGGCCATCTACGACATCTGTCGTAGGAACCTCGACATCGAGCGACCATCGTACACCAACTTGAACAGGCTCATTGGTCAGATTGTGTCTTCAATCACAGCTTCACTTCGCTTTGATGGAGCTCTGAATGTTGATCTGACAGAGTTCCAGACCAACTTGGTGCCCTACCCTCGTATCCACTTCCCTCTGGCCACCTATGCCCCGGTCATCTCTGCTGAGAAAGCCTACCACGAGCAGCTGTCTGTGGCTGACATCACCAATGCCTGCTTTGAACCAGCCAATCAGATGGTGAAGTGTGATCAACGAGGTGGTAAATACATGGCCTGCTGTTTGCTGTATCGTGGTGACGTTGTGCCCAAAGATGTCAACTCAGCCATTGCAGCCATCAAGACCAAGCGCACCATCCAGTTTGTGGACTGGTGCCCCACAGGCTTCAAGGTGGGCATCAACTACCAACCTCCAACTGTGGTTCCTGGAGGAGACCTGGCCAAGGTGCAGAGAGCTGTGTGCATGCTGAGCAACACCACAGCCATTGCTGAGGCCTGGGCTCGTCTCGACCACAAGTTTGATCTGATGTACGCCAAGAGAGCCTTTGTCCACTGGTATGTTGGAGAGGGAATGGAGGAAGGAGAGTTCTCAGAAGCCAGAGAAGATATGGCTGCTCTAGAGAAGGATTATGAAGAGGTTGGTGCTGACAATGTAAATGAGGAGAATGATGGAGAGGAATACTGAGAATAGTGTAACCTGCACCTTTAAGGCAAAATCAAAAGATTGTATTGGTTTTAAAATTGAGCATTTCTTCTTTTTTTCTGGTGAGAATTTTGGTGACACATTATCTTCCATGATAGAAACTCAATTTAATAGTGAAAAAGAAAAATATGTAGGCCCTCTGGGCGGGTTCTTCTTTTAATGAAACGTTTCGTCTCTCCTCCGAGAGACTTCTTCAGTCTGAGGAGTTTCAGGTGAACTCAGCCTTATAAGCACTCCCTCCACATGGTGGACAATTTAATATTTCAATTCAGTAGTGAAACAAAGTTCTGCATGTAGTCTTGTTTGCAGATAATATCCTAAACTTAGCCTATTGTTGCTTAACTTAACAAACATGAGTTATATATTTTTTCATTAGCTATAGTTTCTTCTTCTGTTATCATTCAGACTAAACAAAATATTTCAAGTTATCTAAGATAGAAGATGCAACATTTTTGTCTGACCAAAAGTAAAACAAGACCAAGCCCTGGGTTCTGTGCACCTCCCCCCAACTATCCTCTCCCATGAGGAATGTGAGTTATGAAAGGGTTTCTGTGTCAGTTTCTATGTGCTGATCCACTGACTCTGTGAGAACGAGAAAGACAGAATATAAGTGACACAGTCAGTGTCTGGTGTTGTTTGTGTAGCTTATATTCAAACCATGGACTGCAGCAACAAAGGGATACCAGTTCACTTTTGCATGGATGAATGAATTGCAGCACTTTAATCCTAGGACAACTTGTACCAAAAAGGGGTGTATTTTTTAAATGTCTTTAATCTCTTGATTTGCATTCCTGTGCAGCTGTTTCTGTAAGTTTTTGCTATACCAAATGATGCCGTATGATTTAAGCAAGTTTTGTTGTATCAATACATAATTTGTACGGATCCTCACCATTCTCTTGACAATCTAATTTGATGCTCAGAATAAAAGTTATTCATTTATCCCACATTGTGTGTGTGCTTCTCCAGTTAATGATTCAACAAATGAGTTTGACTGGGTGTGTTTGTATGCAAAACAAACATATAAAAAGTGTAAAACAGTTGTTCAAAAATACATAAAACATAGTTTTGAACTTGAAAAGTAAATGAGTGTTAGTTTAGACACAAGGGAGGTATGAAGAACTTCCCTCTTTTTTTGAAAGTGTTGCACACTCCCGCCAATAAACGATGTAACCGCTTTCTGCCTGCCCCCTTCACATACTGGCCTATATAAGCCCCAGCTCTCCCTTTCCTCCTCACTTCTGCCTTGTGTCTGAATCCTCAACGTTAGTCGAAGGACAAGCAGACAAAATGGTGAGTAACTAATTCACTTATAAAACTGCCATGACATTTCCATCCTGTCATTCTTTCTACTTTTATGTTTGTTGTTTATCGGTACCACATAACTTGAATAGTTGGGTCTGTTCAAAGCTTAATAAATGCTGCAGTAAAATTTTCTGAAACAAAAGCACCTTCATCTTAGTCAGCATGAGAAAAAAAATGTGTAATAAAAGTTTTTAGAGCGTGTTTATGAAACATTCAGTGTGATTGAGGCAAAGTAAAGTGAACAAAGAACTGAAAGTAAAATCTTTTCTGTAGTCTTTTTATTAAAACTAGGTCAGATACCTAACACTTTAGTCATTAACCTTTTTCGCATTCATGTTTAAACACCTATTTATGAAGCAATAACTATATCCAACTAAGAAAAATAAAACATTTTGTTGAGAAGTTTCAGCCCTAACTGATGGGTGTGGATCTTGGTAATCGTGGCAGTGGAGGGGTTGGGAGAAAAAGCACAGAGAAAAGAGGAGTGGTTTGGCTTGAAATATGAGTTATATGGCAGCCATTTTGTCAGGAGTTTTTGGTTTGGAAAATATGGTGAGATATGTGAGGAGAGAGAGTAGGAGAGAGAGAGAGAGACACATGTTACAAAGCCCTACAGTATGCAGCTGGACAGGATGGGGGAGGAGAACAATCTGAAGGGGGAGGGGATAAGGAAAGGGAGGAGGCACAGGATGGAGAAATGGGGGGGTGAGAATGTCCCACCATTTTAGCTTGGCCTTCCTCTCTGCCACATAGCCTTTTCATAAACCAAGGAACAAAGGATGTGATTTGCCTAAAAAAACTTTTGACATACTTTCTTCTATTTTATTTTTATCTATTCAAAGTTTTAATACTATATTTAGGCACACATTTGTTGGTCATACATCTTTCAAACTGTGTACACATCACAACATAAACTTAAAAAACAAAACACAAGTTTAATAAATCAGATATGTGCTTTTGCCATCAATCCACTGGTCTAATAAGACCTAATAAATGGGATGCACAGTTAAAGGCTCATTCTGCAGAGAGTCCAGGCAAAGACACCCTAGAAAATGCAAAACATGTGGCTGAAAAAAATCAGCCCTGTTTAACCCTCTTTTGTTATGTCTGGTTTTAGCGTGAGTGTATTTCTATGCACGTTGGCCAAGCTGGAGCCCAAATGGGCAATGCATGCTGGGAGCTTTACTGCCTGGAACATGGGATCCAGCCAGATGGACAAATGCCCTCTGACAAGACAATTGGAGGAGGAGATGATTCATTCAACACTTTCTTCAGTGAGACAGGAGCTGGAAAGCACGTTCCCAGGGCAATCTTTGTTGACCTGGAGCCCACTGTCATTGGTAAGAAGACAAGAAATGAAAAAGACATGTAGACATCTTGAATATGGTGATTTATTTGCTATACTAACCTTTTTCATCATTTATTTCCAGATGAGGTGCGAACAGGAACCTACCGTCAGCTGTTTCACCCCGAGCAGCTGATTACAGGGAAGGAGGATGCTGCCAACAATTATGCTCGTGGACACTACACCATTGGAAAGGAGATCATAGATCTTGTTCTAGACAGAACACGCAAACTAGTGAGTTTGTTTACATTTACATTAGTTTACTGGTCAGATTTAACATGATTTAAACATGCAAAAATCTTTAGCAACCTAGAATTCTATGTATCAGCTTAGACACTTGTGGAAACACCTGGATTTTAAATAATCAAACCCCATTTTATTTTCAGGCTGATCAGTGCACTGGCCTGCAAGGTTTCCTCATCTTCCACTCCTTTGGTGGAGGCACTGGTTCTGGTTTTACCTCCCTGCTGATGG